AAAATAACCCTATAGGACAAAGTAGAAGTGCTCCATTGGGTCTCTGAAACCATAAATCTTTACAGAAATAGACAGCTTCATCTCCCTTCCTTTATGTTGTCTTCATCATGCATTAACGTAAACATATTTTGTTGGAGGAGGTGAAGCTGGGAGAGGATGAATAGCATGTTTGATGTTACAGGGATGATAGTTAACCAAGTGATATGACTCTGATTCTCAATATCCCATGAACTTCTGTTTCTTCATGCCATAGAGCATCATCATTAGAAATGGCCCCTTGGCTCCCAGAATGCTTAGAAGAATGTATATATCCCTTTCTTTTTCCCAAGCTAAGACACTACTTCACAAGTATCTGTTAGGTGGGTGTCCCTGACTTAATTTCTTAAACAGCATCTTATCTTTGCATTTCCCCCACTCAGTTGCAAATGTCTACATCTCTGTTTCTCCAAGACCATGTCAGATCCTTAAAGATTTAGGACATGTTTTACTCATCAAGCATTCTCAATGCCGAACATGTAAATACTCAATAAGGTTGAAACTATGATGAGGAACGCTAATAATTATGTGAAAAATTAACTCGCTTACAGAGTTGGGTCAATTAATATTAGTCACTACAACTAAACTGAAGACCCCAAAGCAGAATGTGTGTCTTGTGAGATAATCTTCTGAAACCCCGTGAAAGAAGAGGGAAAAAACCATCAACCATCTCCACTAAAATGAAACAAAACAAATTCACTGCCTTCAAGTAAATTCTGACCCCTAGTGACCTTAGAGGACAGAGTAGAACTGTCACTGTGGGTTTGCAAGATGCTAACTCTTTACTGGAGTAGCCTTTCTGTCTCCCATGGAGCACCTGGTAGTTTCAAACTGCCAACATTTGGGATGACAGCCCAATCAGTAGCCACTCCACCACCAGCTCCCTGGGATAGGTTCAGGGTGTGTGTGTGTAGAGAGAGAGAATCTTCATTCTTGGCAGTTTTCAGAGCTAGTGGGAAATACAGAGAACAAGTGAACAAAAACCAATAGTTTGGTACTGGGAGACAAGATGCATTTTCTTGCTTTGAGTGGGTAGGGGGATAGGATGGAAAGGAGGGGGACAGGGCAAGGGGTCTGTTCTGAATTTAACTCCATTCTTGGGGTGAAATCTCCCCTTGGCCGTCATATTGGGAAGCCATGGCATGCATATTGATAATGCTGATTCTGTCCTGCTGGAATCATCCATTTCTTACACAGCCAAACCTCTTAGTGGGCTAGTTTCCAATTCTGGATAGAAAGCCGATCACGTATAACTTTACCCGTGTATCTAAAAAAAAGCAGGCAGGTTTAAATCTACCCCTGTATCTTTCCTAGGGGCTTTTTCACATTCTCCTTGTGACACGCTGAGAGAGTATGTCCACTGGTGTTCCTTATGGTAAGGCATTGAGCTCAGTCATGTTTGATTATTCCTACTGAACCAGGTGCAAAGAGATACTTTCTCCCTCTGCCTCTCCCTCTCACACTCTCTCATCCTAGTCTCGACCCGACTGCACACTTTTGCATTGCTAGATTTAATAATGATTCTTATATATTCAAATACAGGGCCTAAATGACTTACTCATATATTTTGATGCTTCCACTTCACCAGCCATCACACCGCCACATTTGCTTCATTCTATAGTCACACAATGCCAACATTATCCAAAGGAACCCAGATGAGATCAAGGATTGTGCCCGAGTTGCTCTCCTCCAACCACGGACCCACCCTGGGAAGCCTTTCGGATCAATTCTGTTTCCATTCTGTTTTGAAAGCTCTTGTTCTCTACTAACTTTTAAAACTTTATGCAAGCAAAAATATATCATATTTACCTGTATCAGAGACAACCCACACAGATTTTTGTTTTTGTCCCTCACCCCCACAAAGAATAGGCACTCAGCAGATTTAGAGTGGATAAAAATGATTAAAATGTTTAACATAATTTTAGTCAACATACAAAGAAGGTCGTTTTTTATATGGCTCAACAAATCATATCATTTATGGAAATAAAGAAGCAAAAAGAATTAAGAGTTTGGGGCTTGTTTTGTTTAATTTTTAACTGACTACTGCTTGAGAATAGCCCCTCAGTTATTATTCCATTATATATATGCTACTAAGTATATTAATAAAAAAATTTGTAAGTTTCTGATTAAGTAGCAAGTTATTCATTAAACCGTATTGTATACCTCTGGGAAAAGCTAGTGAATATCCTCATCTAGTTCCAAAGATAAAAAGAATATCTGTCTTCAGTACAGAGTATAAGGTATTTGTTCATATGGCTAACAAAGTACTATATAAAATTATGACAATGTCACACTGGCCTTAAAATACAGTCTTTAAAATGTACATAATATCTGACTTTTTTTATAAGCTATTGATAGTCTTGTTCCTGCCTACTTTACTACCTCACCCCAATATTAGATTTTACATTTTAGTATTAGCAAACTTTATTGTGGTTAAATGCATTTTGAAACATCTACATCTTTTAAGGCCATGCTATGCCACACCTTTTCCTGGAAAAACCCATCGCATACTTAATTCTTATCTAGTGTTCATAGCTCACACAGTTTGGATGATTTCTCTGGTCTCCCATATCAGAGTAGTGATAACACCCATACTCACAGAAATTTCTTTTTTTTTTTTTTTTAGAAATTTCTAACTCCATTTATTTTTCCACATATGATAACTTATATGTAATAGATATCCTAAAGTGGTAGCAAGTGTTACTGCTGATATTTAATAATAGTAATATTTTAATGTCATTCTATGTCTAAACTTTCTGTAGTCAGGTTATATGCTCTCAATCAACATTTTATTATTTTAATAATAAATGAATCCCTGTGACTTAGGAAATATCCAGGGTATTCCTTTCCCCTTTTTAACAATCTTCCCCTCTACTTATAAAAGGAATATTTGCAAAGGAGTGTGAAAATTGTGAAAATGAGGTGTCTTGTTCAAGTATTTTTGCTTAAGCATAGCTTATTTGAATTTTTTCTACTTATAAAAACCAGAGGGCAAAAATAATATCAGAGGGCACCATCAAATATTCATTAAAAAGCTTGGCAAATATTAAATCAAAACAAATAATAATTATACATATAATTATACATACAAATACATAAAATGAAGAGCTAAGCACTGACTGAAAATCCATAATCTTTCTTTCAGGTTGTATATTTCCTCTGCTGTTATATTGTCATAATATTGTAATTAAGATTGTGCTTAATAAATGAAATGCTCTGCTTCTTTCTTATTTTCTCATTTCCAGAGAAATTCCATAGAACATCCTTTTCATAAGTAAGAACCCCAGCTCTGTCATTGTATTTCTAAAACTACTTATTCCAACCATATCCCTCCTATGCACTTTTTACCACCGTGAAGTCAGCAAGCAGACGGCTCAACCCAAGAGTCCACATACAACAGGTCAAAAGGGTAAGTACATCTTCCGTTAGTCACACATTTTTTTTAATGTGTGACATTGACCATGAAGTGACATTGACCACTAAGTCAATCTTTATCATTAAAATAAAGCAAGCAAACGTGAAAGACATACTTTCTATTCACAAGTGTTGTATATATATATATATTTTTTTAAAGTGTTGTATATATATATATATATATTTTTATAAGTGTTGTATATTTTAAAGCAGATACTAAAAAAATGACATTCTGTGAGAAATGCTGTGATAGTAAAATGCATAGCATGCAATAGTAATATTCCCTAATATAGCCAATCTAAACTTGAGGAATTCAATAACACTTGCTGAAGAAGAAAATGTCTAAGCTAAAAGAGGCATGATATCTAACATGAAACAGGTGAATGAATAGGGGTTGGGTAGAAAAGAATAAGAGAAATATGTTCCAGGAAGAATTAAAATGCAAGTTGTGGGGTGTGATAATCAACAATAGAGAAACTGAAGAACTACTTAATAGGTTGGCACAAAATATGAAGAAGATAACGAGGCTAGATTAAAATAGAGAATAAAAAGAAGGCTAAGATCTGACAGAAATTTGCATGTCACTTTAAACCATTTTACTTCATGTCATGTTTGGTTTTAGAAATGCCTCTGCTGTTACAGAGTAGTTAACAAATTAAAAGTATAATTAGAAGCTGTGTCAAAGATCTAGGAAGAGATTCAGTTAGCTCAATTACAACAGAATCAGTGAAGATGATGAGAAGATAGAAGCAGTTAGTAGATGGAATCCTAAGCCTTGGAAATTTATTGACTGGATACAGGACAGAAGTGTTTTTAGAGGAGAAAATTATGAAATTTAATTTCTTTTACCCTATACCAAAACTCACTGCCATGGCATCTATTCCAATTCATAGTGATCAAGGCAGAACTGCTTCTGTTGGTCTCTGAGACTGTCACTATAGGAGTAGAAAGTAAACTTCATCTTTTCCCACAGAGCGACTGGTGGTTTCAAACTGCTGACCTGTGGGTAGCAGCCCAATGTATAACCCACTATGACAAGAGAGATTATGAAAATACAGAAAGAGAAGGCTGTTGAGAAAGAGGTAATAAACTAAAGTTCTGATGTGTTTCTCAGATAACTCTGAAGCTTATAAATGCAGTTGTTCAGCATACTGTTACATGTACCCATCTCTGAATCAGAAAGAAGAAATAGAAAGTGTTGTAATTATAGTTATGCCATTTTCCAGCCATAGATGGTAAATAAAATCATGGAAATGGGTGACATATCTTGGGGGGAAATATATAGCATAAAGCCAGAAAATAGCTCAGAATGAGAGTAGTTATAGTAATGTTTGAGCAAAGAAGAGAACTCAGCAATGGGGACTGTGAAGGAACAGAAATATAGAAAAAGTATATATTCTATAATTATGGTGGAATAATTGAGAATAGTGGAACAAATGATATGAAAGATGAGGACGATTGTGATGTTGTTTATGATGTTGTAATTGCTAATTAAACTGAATAATAAGTAACCAGAAATATCCATTTATTTTCAGCTCAGTCCCTAAACAATGTCAGACCAATATCCATTCAGTCATCAGTCCATGTACCTGTACAACGCCACTTGGTTTAGTCCTATGTTCTATCTTACTGGTTTGCCTGGATTCGAAGCCATTGAACAGTGGGTTTTCATCCCCTTTTTCTTTATGTACCTCGTGGCTATCTCAGGCAACTGTTTCATTCTGATCATTATTAAGACCAACCCTCATCTACACACACCCATGTATTATCTTCTGTCCTTGCTGGCCCTCACTGACCTGGGACTATCTGTGTCTACCTTGCCCACCACTATGTGCATATTTTGGTTCAAATACCATGGAATCTACTTCAAAGCCTGCCAAATCCAGATGTTCTGCATTCACTCATTTTCTTTCATGGAATCTTCAGTGCTCCTCGTCATGTCCTTTGACCGTTTTGTGGCCATCTGCCATCCATTAAGATATTCAGTCATAATCACAGGGAAGCGAGTGGTTAGAGTTGGTCTGGTCATCATACTCCGAGGCCCTGTGGCCCTTATCCCTATTGTCCTCCTGCTGGAAGCGTTTCCCTACTGTGGCTCTCGAGTACTCTCCCACTCATATTGCTTACATCAAGAAGTAATACATCTAGCTTGCACAGACACGACGTTCAACAATCTGTATGGGCTCACACTGGTGGTGTTCACTGTAATGATGGACCTGGTACTCATTGCACTGTCCTATGCATTTATCCTGAGCACAGTGGCAGGACTGGCCTCTCGAGAGGAGCAGCTTCGAGCTTTCCAAACATGTACCTCACACCTGTGTGCAGTGCTGGTATTCTTTGTGCCCATGATGGGACTGTCCCTGGTGCACCGTTTTGGGAAGCATGCTCCACCTGTTATCCACCTCCTTATGGCCAATGTCTACCTCTTTGTGCCTCCTATGCTCAATCCAATCATATACAGTATTAAGACCAAGGAGATCCGCCGTGCCATCCTTAAATACCTACACCTTAGAAAGGGCAATGCTGTGTCCTGGGACTAAAAATTATGGTAGGTGCCCTAAAGAAGACCAAGAGTTTATCACTTTGTAAATTATGAAACTTGTGCATATGCCCCAAGATTTTCCTCACTATCCCAAATTGTGTATAACTTAAGTTCTTTCTTGAATTATGACATAGGATTGCTAAGTGCTTAAGAGTGTTTGTCTAAATCATAATGCCTCCATCATTTCTGGGACTTAGTATCATTAAAAATTCCTAGAAAAATACTCTGTTGACATCATTATCACAAAATTATAAAATCATACCATTCACTTTTTAAAAATCCAACAGAATAATAAATTAAAACCATGCAGAATAGAGTTTAAACAGAGTGCATCCATATCAATTACTCTAACCCATCTCAGGAAATGTACCTCTGTTCATGGCTGCTTGGTGCTAGCTGGCCAACTATTTTCTCTTACCTTCCTCTCCTGGAAAAGCCTCTATCCTAAGGACTTCTGATTCATTCAACTGGCGGCTCAAGGAAAACTCTTCGAATTTTTCTGAGGTTTTGCTGGCATATATTATTCTAGACATGCATGACCTTCCTATTACCTCTTCTCCCTAATTTCACTTTGCCTATGGATTCTTGGATTCCTAGTATAATATTAAACTGGAGTCAATGCTTTACTTATGATAGATTGAACAAGGACATGACATCTGACAATGGTTGAACCAAGGAAACCGCCACAAAGCATACTTAAATCAAAATCTTGTACATCAAGAGATTTGGAAACTAGAGATCAGGGTTCAACTTGCCTTTACACCTTCCTGGATCCAATTCATCCTGAAGTCTTAGCATTAAGGTAACTTCATCAAAGACATTTTCACTGAAAAGCCTGCTTTTTAATACCACATTAGATTATGTATCTGCTCCCAACTGCACTCCTCGTTGTAGTATTTGCTGTATGTTATGTAACGTTTCTTTGTTTTGGGGTGGGGGGTGTTGTTTCTTTGTTTTTGTTTTACAGACTATGTCACTAAAATAAAGTCCTCAGACTAGTGATTGACACATGAGATACGCAATAAATAAATATTAAATGATTTCATGAATATATTAATAAACTAAGTTCTAAAATGAAGGATAATTTTTCTTGCCTGGAGAAGATGCCCTTTTCCTGTCTAAGAAGCCCAAGAGGAGTTTCTTCATTATTTTCATATTTTGATTCACTCAGGTCCTCTTGGCTCCCCTCTTAACTCCACCTTAGGTTAAAATACTGAGAAGTCATGTGTGTAAACCACCACATCCCTCTAATCCAAAGTCAACAAAAAGCACATCAATTTTGACTAATTAATTCAACACTGTTTACTACCTTGGAATCTTGAAGATTCAGAGGTCCTCTGTGACTACACATGACAAGAGTTTCTTGATTCTATGGCCCAGCAACCCAGGTCTCTTAATTTATTTCTTTAATCAACACATAATCTCAGAAGATTCAATAGGGTAGTCCACAAAAGGCTGATATCTCTCTAACTGATACATATTTGTGCTTTATTTCTGTGTGCATGGACAAAACAAGAGAAGGGGTAGCAGTGGTGGTGATCAAGAGTAGATATTGGCCTAAGAAGATGTATTATGGGTTTTGTTTTATCTCATTAATCTTGTTAGACCTGCATATGTTCATTTGATGCATGAAAGACAAGATAGATAACCCTTCAGAAACAGTAACAGGAGTAACGATTCCCTGAGGGTACAGGAAGAGAGTGTGGTAGGGGTCAGGGGGAGATAATAGCAATGATAACTGTACAACCCCACTCGGGGAGAATTACCAGAATTCCAGGTGAATGTATATATATATATATATATATATATATATATATATATATACAGTTGTTGTTGTATCTTACACCATTCCTGGGAGGTAGGGTGGAAGAGGGAGGGAATAAAGGGGAGTTGATATCAAAGAGTTCAAGAAGAAATAAAATGTTTTGAAACTGATGGTGGTAGCAATTGTACAATTTTGCTTGATCTAATTGAATTATGGACTCTTATAATAACTGTAAAAGCCCCTAAAAATGATTAATAAAAAATAGTAGTATATACTGGCCTATATTTCAATAATGTGTGGATATAATTGTTTCAGAGAAAGGGTAAAACACTTTTACCACTCATACCTGGTGTTCTCATCACTCTGTGCCAGTTCACCTTTTGCTAAAGAAACAAAGGAGACCTCTGTACCACAAAGAAACTTCTCAGTGGAGTTAAAATAGGGCACAATTATAAGCTCCCAGAGTCAGATTCTGAGCCCTTATCTCTTAATTTCTGGGCTATGGGAATCTGGGAATCCTTTCTCCTTCATAACACTTGGAGCTTGATGCAAATAAATACCTTAATCCAAATAGGACCTGTAAGATAATGTTTACTGTTAAGAATATGAAATAACAGTTGAATGATGAAGCAAAACCATGAGACACTAAGAATAAACTGTACCTGCAACAACAGTAATAAGAAACAATAATTTTGAGTGGATGAGGTATCCATATGTAGATATTTATGCTAAATGGGTAGAGACGGTCGTCAGCAGTCCATCTGCTGCTTATATAGGTATAAGTATGGACATTTCTACATACATATTTATATATTATGCAAGTTTATCCATCTTTGTAACAGAGAACATGGGACTATAATTCTGAAAGCTTTTTAGACATATCCAAACACTTCATGGGACTGAGCTACTGAATTTGAAGGTTAAAGACTATATAGTCTCAGGGGACATTGAGGCTAACCAGCATAATTCATAAAGATAATGTTCTGCATCTATGTTAGTCTGGATAAACTAGGGAAACACATCCACAGAAACTCATATGTATATAAGAGTTTTATACAAAGGGTAAGTGTACATTAAGAAGGCATCCCAATTCAGTGCTGTCCAAGCCCACAAGTCCAACATTAGCCCCTATGTGTGTCACCAATCTACAAAGTCCTCCTCTATCTCACAAAATACATGCAATGATGCCGGCTGCAGGAGGAAGGCCGAATCAGTGAGCACGTAAGCATCTCAATGCTGGCAGGGGTCTCCATGCAGTTTCCCCAGCACACAGGGCTGCATCACGGTAGGTCCATGTGGCTTCTCCTCAGGAATATTTCACAGGAAGTGAGCCTTGCCAGCTGAAGCAGGGAACTGGCTAAGGCAGCTCCACCCTGGTCCGACCATCAGAGAGTAAGAGACCTGAGAACTAGAAAAGCGAGCCTCACCGAGCCATTTATCTCTCCGCACTTCAATTAATCCCACATGTGTTTATCAGCCAGGTGGGCACAATAAACCTTAACTATCTCAGCATCCCGCAATTGGTGAGTAATATTTGGAATCTTAAAGCTTGAAAAAGTAGTTAATATACAACCATAGACCTTTCATTTCCAGAGCAATGAAAAATGTAAAAAAAAAAACCAACCCATGAAATAACAAAGATTCAAGAAAGCATTTAGTACAGAGGACTAATTTCCCAATGTGAAGCACAGCCTGCTTTAGCCTGAGAACAGAAGAACTACATGGTACCTAGCTACCGACTTTTCCAACCAGGAACATAATAAAAGATTCTAGTTCCAATGGGAGAGGAAACTGTAAATCAAAGATATAATTTGTTAAATGATAAGTCTTACTTGTCTTAGTAGACTGGAAGAACCCCTGACAGCCTTGAACCTGAACTCTCTCCTGGAGACCACCTTCCTGTCCAATAAAATAAGCAATAATACTTATGAGGCTTTTATTACTTACAATGATCAGCTATACAAGAGCGAAGGGCAACAGTTACCTGAAACCGAAGACAACAAGGCAAAAGCAGATGGTGAAACTGGATGAGTGAAAGAAACCAGGGAGCCCAGGCTGCAAATGGTGAATATGCTGAGAAATGGCAGGGATTAAAACAAAATTCACAGAGGAATTTGTGTATGAATTATTGAATGAGAAACATTTTCTGCATGAATTTTTCACCTAAAACACAATAAAGTATTTACAAACAATTAACTTCATACAATATAGAACTTTATATCATGATATTACGGCAACAAAAACCATGAAAACATACGTGCAGAGGGATATCTTCTAAATATAAAATTTCAGCTAAAATGAATACAAGTATATGCATATATGCTAGCGTCTCCGTGGTGGATTGAGCTTCTTGAGAGAGAGATTAGGCTTTCGACTCTCAAAATGATTTACAGTCTCAAAAACTCACAGAGTACAGAATTGACTGGATGGCAGTAATTGAGGTATACACCTATTAACTCTTTTAACATTAATCTATGAATAAATTCAATTATAAGCAAAATTCCAGCCAACTATACTATAGAACTTGATTGGAGATGTAAAAATTCTTATACCAAGCAAAGAGCCAAAGCAAGCCAAGGCAACTGGATAGTAAACCAAAGTATGTGGATACCTACTAGAAAATTCAAAGATACTTTTAATGCTGTAACAATTTGAGCAGAATATTATTTGTGCTGAGTTAAATTAACAAATAAGCATAACAAAATAAAATTTAAAAAATAACCCACAGACATGTTATCTAAAGTAGGTAACCTTAAAAGTTGTCAGATAAGGTTTAATTTATTTTCAACCTTTTTTGTCAAGTAATATATATTTCATATAATTCAATCATTCGATCATATCACAGGGAGCTGTACAATCATCCCAATATCAATTTTAGAGCATTTTTCCTCCCCAAGAGTTAAATCACCTTTAAGATGATTTATGCAATCGCAATCTGTTCTAGTACTCCCTCCTTCCTCCCATGGAGAAGGTTGAATTTTTAAATAAATGGTTGTTTGTTATACATATAGAAAATACAATCTGGCCCTTATAGAATATACAAAAATAAATTAATTCAGAGTGAGAACATAAGTGTTTTTTCAAAAAAAATCAACTTTTCAAAGAAAATATAGGAATAAAAACACACAAAGAGAAGTGAGAAGAAAAATTACAAACCACAAACTTGAAAATTATATGTGAATTGCACGTAAACATCTAAGAATGAATGCCCAGAATACAGAAAGAAGAGCTAAAAGTCAATAAGGACAGGCCATATTATTCAAAAAGAAATTGAGCAAAGTTATAAACCAACCATATCCGGAATAGGAAAATTAAAGTGCCAACTAACACCTGAAAACATATCTATCATCGAGGGAAATATTGCTTTCTTATGTATTTGTATGTTCCATAGAAATTAGGAAAACAACAAATATATAATATAGATGCCATATTTCATCAGTAACATTAGCAAAGATGAAAAATAATCTGAAAATACCCCATGCTGGTCAGGATGTGGAGCAATGCGTTGTTATCAAGTGGCCAATGTAGATGAGAACAACCCATGAAAATCTGTTTGGGGATACCTGTTAGAAATGGAAGACACACCCATTCTTTGGTGTAGCAATTCACTGAGACGGTAATGCTTCCTGAGGGTAAAAGTCTCCTCTTTCTTCCACAGAGCAGCTGGTGGATTTGAACTATCGACCTTGAGGTTAGCATCCCGATGTGTAACCCACTACACCACCAGGGTTCCTTAGTAGCAAATACACAAGTAAATTCTAATACAGCTATGTAATACTATATGTTATCATGACACACTATTAACAAGTCTCAAATAAATATATAAAATTGACCAAAACAAAGTTGTAAATGTGTATTTTTGCATGGTAGCTATTTTGGGATGTTTTCAGCATGGCCTATCACAATATAAGATGTTTGTGAGTAGGGAAGAAAAGCATTAAAAGTCATCTCAGATCGAGAAATGACTACATCAGAAAAACAGTTATTTTTAGCGAGAGAGGGAGTTAAATAGAAGTGAGAAGGGCTTGAGGATTTTTGTTTTTGTTTTTGCCCTTATATATCTGAAAATGTCTCTTTTACCTTTTCTAGGAGAGTAAAAGTACTTCTTCAAAAGATGGTGAGTTTTGTCAAAGTCAGAGTTCCTGTCTTATTAATCTTTGGATCCAAAGATCTGGCCCAAATTTGCACTCTCTACATAATTGCTGAATGAGGAGCTATCTAGTAGGAAAGAGAGTCTCACTGTTTGTCTGGGGAAAGGAGGGAAACCAGAAAGGAGAACTGAGGATCAATCCAAAAATCTTCTTATAACAATGGCATCTAGTGGAAGAAGAAAATGAAGGGACAGCTGGTCAGATGAAGTGTTTAGGGAGGCCTTGAGTAGAGGCCCATAGTCTGTCTGCTATGTTAATACTTAACATATAAATATATGTACGTCGACCTATATCCCTATCATTATAAATTAATATATTTACATATATACATGCCTATACCTCTATATATAGCTTTTGCCTCCTAGTTTTTTCCTCTTTTTCCTTTCATCTTCCTCCTGTCCCATTATCATGCTAACCCTCCATATGGCTCTCAGTAATTTGTCTCAGATACATTGCACTTGAAACCTTACCTGGCATTCTACACCCTCATCATCACTTTTAGATCTCTTGTTATTCCCTTGTTCCTGAGGGGTTTTTGTTCCCCTTTAGTCTTCTTTTTGTTCCTAAAACTCAAAGAACATTAAGAGGAGCATAATTTGAGAAGTTTGATGACATGTGGTATAAATCAAAGATCAAAGAATTTATCAAGGAAGTTTTCAGAGATGGAAACACTGCCTTCAGCATAGATCTAGCTGGATAATAGTTTGAGAAAAAATAGCTTCACATTTAGAATTTTTCGTTAATAAAAGTTTCTATTATTTTTGTAATATTTTTTACTTACCTTCATATTATACAAATGTGTATGTGTACAAAGAAATATAGTGTGCTTGAACATACTAGACATAATGTATTCATACTCAACCCGTTCATGTATATATGGGAAATTGTATATGTTAATGTATTCATGCAATCTTGCAAACACAGTCCCAAATGAAGGATTATATTTAGGGATATAACTGCGCATACAGCTGCACATGCAAACATGCATATAGCTATATGTACACATACACACATATATGTATGTATTTATACAAAAATCCATACACACACACACACACACACACACATTGTCTGGCTCCATATTTTCCTAAAACTTTTTTTTTCTTCTTTTCTTTTTTTTCTTGGTGTCTGTAATAAAATTTATCCCTGAGTTTCAGGACAGCAAAACAGGGCCTAGAGTTACAGTGTGTCTAGGGCAGCCTCTTGGGCCAGTGCCTGTCATGGTGGGGAAGGCACTGAATTTGACACAGCTGTCCTTAAAGCTTTTCTTACGACAGCCCTGTAACTCCTGGAGTTCTCTGTTCTTGGTTCACTTATTCCTCTGGGAACAATCTTATTCTTCCAGGGATGATTGCCAGAATTCACCAGGGAATTGTGGCCAGAAATTATGGGGAAGGAGAGGGACTGCTTCTGGAGCCATCATAAATTAGAAGCCCAATCATCCCCAGTGTCCAGCCAGTGAGTTGGAGACCGGGCCTGAGACCAACTACATTGAGCATCAGGTGGGTTCCTCAGAGGACAGGTCTTTTGCCCTGGAAAATCAGGCTACGAGACCAAGAGGCTAGAATATGTGTTCAGGTGAGATGAACCCGGGGTTTCATTCTGAGGTGCGGGATTTCTACCATGTTTCCTCCCCGCTCCAGCATGTCATACAAGACTCTTCTCCTTAAGGATACAGACCATTGTCCAGAAGGCCTCATCCTAGCAGAAGGACATTTGAGACTTGTCTATATCCAGTTCCTTTTTGTCAATTCAGGAAAACTTAGTAGGAAACTCTCCATTTTACACTCAATCCAGTCCTTTTTCAATTGGACACTTAAGTAATGCCTGTACCTATTTTTAAACCTGTCCTCCTTCCTTCTTATGTCTGTTTACCCTCTTCTCCTCTGCCTCGCTTACCAAAGCAGAGGTTATTCATATGTGACAGGGCTTGTCTGCTCTGCCCCACAAGGGCATCTCTCTAACCTTCAATGCCTGGTCATTCCTAAATGCAACCCCTCTGATGCCCCATGTCTTTCACTCTCCTCTCATTTCTGCCTCTGGCTGATCCAACCCCACCGCCATTCTGCCTGTCAAACATTATCATTGGTTACTCATATGGCTTTTGTTCAGCTTCCCTTTATCTCTCAACTTGAACTTTGGTTTTGCAACAAAGCAGTTGTTTGACTTTGACAAGAGAAGTGTGCATTTCTAAGGCTCCCAAGTTGTGAATTGATGAGATTAGATCTGGGGATTTTGAAGATCAACCAGATAACATACATTATAATAATATGTACAAGACACACTTCCAGCATGTCTGATACATATTACCAAATCAATCCACACTATTTCCTTTTCTTCTTATTCTTTCTGTGCTCAAAAAAACTCCAGGCTTTAACCTTTCCTCCTAATAATTGCCAATTAATAATTACCACACCTCACTCACAAGCACCACTTTTGACAGAAATAGCTCCTCATGTAGAAGGCACAATAAAGACAACACTCGATCTTTCTTTCCTCGAAGAAGCTCTCTTTTGATATTAGAAGATCAAGTTCTTTCTCTACCAAACACCCAACCTGGAAGAAAGTCAATGTTCTTTAATGTTAGGCTGCCTTCCTATAACCTTCCTTCTCTTTCTCCTTTCATGTCTATTGAAGCCAGGTGAGTTGCAGGCTGCAGATCTTTCCTCGAAAAGCCTACAGTTGTCTGATAAACAACTAACTTGCAGTATAGGAAGGCAAGGGCAAGATTAAAACCAATGGTGTGGTAAGCTTCTGCAGAACAGGACTAGTAGCAGGGATGACTGAAGAAGGCCACCCAGATGAGTGGGCTTCTGAGGTGTTGTTATAGAATAAGGAAGGTATGATTATGTTGGTTATTACATATAATTTGTATTATAACATGTAATGGATGGTAACATATTACATATATAATATGTGTTATAGCATAAATTGTGTACTCAAATGCTAAGGAAAAAGCAAAGTGAGAAAGAGGGAGGGCAGGAAAATAAAGGAAGAGAAAAATAAAAGAAGCAGGAAGGGAAAGGTGTGTCAAGATGTGTCAGGGTTTACACAGAAATTTAACAGTTAAATTTTCTCAGTGCAATTTCACAAGTAACACAAATTGTGTGATTCAAAGAGGACACATCTATTGGATAAAAAGAAATTTTCTTTCACATTAAACAATGGTGCCAGGAATAAAAAAAAAACTTTTTCTCTTATTAGCATTAATTGATGGACCATGCTCAGAGGCCAGTAACTTTCTCTCTGCCACATCATCTTGTATGCCAGGGACCAGCATGCCACTCAAAGGACACTGAAGATGACAAACCCAAAGCTTGTGCTGGATCACAGGTCACTTTCCATTCCTATAGCCTCTATTAAGGAACCCTGGTTCTGTACTGGCTAGACATTGGGCTGCTAACCACATGGTCAGCAGTTTGAAACCACCAGCCATATGCAGGAGAAAACAAGATTTTCTGCTCTCATAAAGAGTTACAGTCTCAGAAATCTGCAAGGAAAGTTCTACCCTGTCATATAGGGTCACTATGAGTCAGAATTGACTCACTGGTAGTGAGTTGGGTTTGTTTGTTTTTTATTGGCAGGGTGGTGGTGGTGGTTGGACTCTATCTTATGGACAGGAAACTTCTTTCTCAAACTGTATCTGCTTCCTTCTGACTGCATGGCATGTTATACTCAACACTTTAGCTAGTCTACACAATTATTCTTTTCTTATTTGAATACTCTCTGGTTTGGTTGCTTTTAATCCTCAGTGTCTCTGAGAAAATACCATATCTTTTAATATGGGTGTGAAATCAGTGTCCCTGGTAGTCCAAGAAGCAGCATCAAATTATTCCTTAGAGAGCCTACAGAACTTTTCAAAAGACTCAAAAGAATAAGGTTGAGCTAAAGATTCAAAGTTGATATCTTCAGTCAAGAAAATTGCAAGCAAATAAAAATTGTTTCTTTTAGTAAGCTACGAAGTTTTTCTTCAATTATTAAAAAAATAAATGTATGTACAAGGAAGAGGAGAGAAAGGCATGACTTTTTTAATGTATGCAAAAACACGGTTCATGCTTTGTATTGATGATGATGTTATTGCTAATATTATTTCCTCCAAAACAATAACATATTGAATGGAACTGCCCGATGTACACTGACTTAGGAAGAAATGTATTCAATCCTCACCATAATGAGGATAATGATATGACTAAGAAGACTGTGAATAATAATCCCAGCAGATTCCCTTTTTCTCTACGTGTACCTCTTTGCAAGTCATAAGCCTACACTATCATCCAGGAGTGAAGAACAAATGGGACTAGTCATGGACTGGGAGGAGGAATGTTTGTGGTTACTATCACAGAAGACAACGTCAGGGCCTTCTCCATCTCCAACCTATTGCCCTTTATATGTCTCTCCAGGTCGCATCTTCCTAAGCCAAGGCTGCAGACAAAGGGGAAAAAATGACCAATAGCAGTCAATTCACCCCCAAATATTTTCTGCTCACTGGTTTCCCTGGTCTGGAAGCCCTATACCCATGGTTCATCTTCCCATTTTGTTCCACATATCTGGTGGCCCTTGTGGGCAACAGTTTGATCTTGACAGTGATCAAGAAAAACACCTCTCTCCACCAGCCTATGTACCTCTTTCTAGCTATGTTGGCCTTTGCCGAGCTTGGTGTTTCTGCTTCAACACTGCCCACTGTGCTAGGCATCTTTCTTTTTGGTGCCAATGAGATCGACTTCGAAGCCTGCCTTCTGCAGATGTTCTTCATACATGCTTTTTCTATTATGGAGTCAGGAGTTCTGCTAGCTATGTCTGTGGACCGTTTTGTGGCCATCTATAATCCACTGCGGTATACTACCATCTTGACCTTGCCCCGTATTGCAGCTTCTGGTACTGCCCTTGGACTGAAGAGTGTGATGCTTATGTTCCCACTGCCCTTTCTCCTGAAGCGTTTGCCTTTCTGTGGCCATAACACTCTCTCCCACTCTTACTGTCTGCACTCAGATCTGATCCAGTTGCCCTGTGGGAACACACGTCCCAACAGCATTCTAGGGCTCTGCATTGTCACTTCCACTTTTGGACTGGACTCACTGCTGATTGTGGTCTCCTATGCGTTGATCCTCCACACAGTGTTGGGCATTACCTCTGGGGAAGGGCGGCGGAAGGCCCTCAACACATGTGTGTCACATATCTGTGCAGTGCTTGTGTATTATGTTCCCATGATCAGTATGGCTCTGGTGCACCGCTTCATGAAGCATGCCGCACCTGCTGTTCGACTGCTCCTGGCCAATGTCTGTCTGCTAGTCCCTCCTGTACTCAACCCCATCATCTACAGTGTGAAGACTAAGCAAATTCGCCAGGGGTTGATACAACTCTTCCTTCAAAGAAAATATTAAGGAAGTTAAGGCCGAACACGTGACTCCATTCAAGTCAGCCAGTTTCATCACTAAAACCTGCCCAGGGAGAGATGGAGTATTCATAACCTTGATGAATTCATAGAAATCTTGCTAATGCTACACTTTGATGAATGTATGGGAACATATATTTTCATATATTATAGGTGAGAATCTAAACCAGTAGAGTCCTTGTCAGCTGTTTTGTATTACTCATCGACTTAGAAAGTATATATTCTATAATCCTGAAATTCATATTGTTAGTACTAGCCTACATTCATGCTCTGATACTTACACACAATGGCTGATATTCCAAAAAGGACTTTGATTTCAGGATTGTTTAAAATAGATTTTAAAACAAAACTAAAACTGGGCAAGGGGAGGGGAGAATGAGGGTCGGGGGTGGGAAACCATCTACAATGATTGACTTATAGCCCATCCCCAGTGGGACAAACAACATAAACATTGGTATAGGAAGATAGTGGATGGTGTAAGATATGAAAATAATAATTTATCAGAGGTCCATGAGGTGGGAGGGTGGGTGAAAAGAGGAGCTAATACCAAGGGCTCATCAAAAGAAAATGTTTTGAAAATGATGATGACAACATATGTGCAAATGAATTTGATGAAATTGATGTATGGATTGCTCTAAGAGTTGCAAGAGCCCCCAATAAAATGATTTATTAATTTGAAAAAACCCAAGAGGTAAGTATTCATACTACGACATGCTCTGCAATAGTAAAAAATATAGGCTCAATTAAAAATGGATAGAATGATGTTTCCTTGCATGGATTAGTATTCAAATCACATTGCTAAACTAAAAACAAGCAAACAAATTAGTTTACACATCATATGTATATACATATAATAGTCTTTTAAAATAAATGAAGCATATAAGATGTTCTATTTATTTGTGTCTACATGTATGTTAATATAAATGTTAATTACCAGCAAGAACACTAAATGCCTTTTTATAACACTGGTTGTGTTAAACGGTTAAAGAGAAGTCGTAAGAGACTGTCTCTGTGTCTTGCTCATTGGCCAGTAAGGGCCCGCTCTCTCCTCAGCCTTTAGTCTTCCAGCTTTTGAGAGAGACAGATCCGATATAGTCCCGGGAGCCTACATGCCCGGATGTAAATAGGAAGCTAATGGAAAAGAGATGAGAGTGTACCACTTACAGTCATAATTCTTCCTTCTGTGGCTTTACTATCTCTGCCAGTTCAGACAGCCAGTTCTGTAGGCTTACCCCACCCCTTTCTGGGATCGGAGTATCTAACATTCCCCTGCTTCTTTACATCATACATGCAAAAATAAAAATTCTGATTCTTTAAAAATTAATGCATTTAATGCATTCTTCTGTTATTCATTATAGATATTTATTTAATACTACTGACTATAATAATATAATGAATGGTATACCAGTTTAGGCATATTCTTTAAATCTTTACACTTTTTAGAATGATTAAGAGAAAAATAGATACTTATACCAAAGCCCTATGCTTGATAATATATACTACAAATAAATCCAGAGTGAAGAAATTTGAAAATCAGACATCTCTAAGAGTTGGGGGTGCATTCACTTTGGAGAGTAATACACATTCCTTCATCTGTTGCTATTGCCATTTTAGGGGCCGACGATTTAGGTCCAACTCAGAACGGTGCTACTTGCAACAGAACTAAACACTACCAGGTCCTACGCGACCCTCATAATTGTTAGATTTGAAGCCATTATTTCAGCCACTGTGTCAATCAATCCTGTTGAAGGCCTGCATGCTTTTCCTCACGGCTCCTCTACGTTACCCAGCATGATGCCCTTCTCCAGGCCCTGGTCTCTTCTGGCACGTCCAAAGTACATGAGACCAAGGCTCACTATCCTTGCCTCTCAGGAGTATTCTGCTTATACTTTCAAGATAGAGCTGTTTGTTCTCTTGTCAGTTCCTGGCACTCGGTATTCTTCGCCAACACCATACTTCAAATGCATCAGCTTTTCTTCAGTCTTCCTTCCTCAATGCCCAACTTTCACACGTCTATGAGGTGATTGAAAACACCATGGCTGGGGTCAGGCATACCTTCGTCTTCAAAGTGACATCACCTTTTGACAACACTTTAAGAGGTCTTGTGCAGATGATTTACTCAGGGCAATCCGTCCTTTGATCTAGACCTCATGTACTTTACCTTCCTTAGGCACCATCTGTTAGTAGGCTGGATTCTCTAGTGAAGCAAAATCAGGATGCTGAGAAATGTGTACAAGTAGAGAAGTTTATATTGAGAAAGATTTGTCTAGCAAGGAAGCGGCCCGCACAGTTGCACAGAGAGCTAGTCCCATAGTCGCACAGGTGCGACGATGAATGCCATCCAGTTGATTCTCAGTCGTAGTGGCCCTGTATGCCAGGGTAGAGCTGTCTTCTTTGGTTTCCGACACTTTAAATCTTTACAGGAGCAGAAATTGTCATCTTTCTCCCTTGGTGGGTTCAAACTGTTGTGGGTGAAAGGTCTGTCAATCTATTCTCATAAAGATTACACCCTAGAAAATCTGATGGGGAAGCCCTACTGTCACATGGGGTTGCTATGAGTCTGTCAAAATTGACTAAAGGGCACCTAATAAAAACAATGCAGCCATGAATTGTTTGAAGCAACAAACACCAAAATTCATTTTTTTAAGTAGACAAAACCATCCTCAAATGTTTTATGACACCTTTCTTAATAACTGATTTAACTAGTAGGCTATGAAACAAAAATCAATAAGATGTCCAATATTTCTAAACACAATTAAAGACCTTGACCTTTAAAACCTATAATTGCCTGTTTATTATACATTCCTTCAAATTATACGCGTAATACGTATCAAAATTTGCCACTTATGTATAGTTAAGATTTATTTCTTATCTGGTTTGTGGACACAAGATGTATTCACTTTGTGATAATTTTATTGAGTCAAACATTTGTAAGGTGGATACTTTTACCAATGAATATTATATTCCAATAAAACTATTTATTAGACACAAAGCAAAACAAAACCTTATTGTTAGACTGTAATGATTCTATGTTTGTGTGGTGGTCAGCAGTAAACCTTTGCATATACCGTATATACTCATGTATAAGCCATTTTTCAGTGCAATTTGTGGTATAATTAGGTGCCTCGGCTGACATTCGGTTCGGGTTATATTCAATTATATATGGTAATTTTATTCTCACTCTTACTTGAAAAAAATGTCCAGTTTTCAGCTATACATATTAGCTCTCAGACTTCTGATTTCCTGATGCCTCAAATTTATAAAACTTTCTGAGTTAGAAAAATGACCTCCCTTCTTAACCACTTGGCCCTGAGTAGTTGTGACTGTTGGATGCTGCCGAGACAGTTCTGATTCACAGCAACCCCACTTAGCTCGGAAGGGAACACTGCCCAGTCCTGCACCCTCCTTACAGTTGTTCTTATGTTTGAGTCCATTGTTGCAGCTGTGTCAATCATTCTGGTTGAAGGCTCTCCCACTTTTCCTCTGTCTTCTACTTTACCAAGCATGATGTCTTTTTCCAGGGACTTGGCTCTACTGATAAGATGTCCAAAGTACGTGTAATTAGTTGGGTTCTATCTCTTTTTGCTTTGCAAAATCAGTTCAACTCACCTCAAAACTGCTACTTCCTCCCCCTCAAAGCTCCCTGCCATCAAGTCATTTCAAGCCCATAGCAACCCTGCATCGGGTTTCTGAGAGTGCAAATCCTTATGAAAGCAGACTGCCTTGTCTTTCTCCTGTGGAGTGGCCAGTGGGTTGAACTACAACCTTGCAGTTATGCCCAAAACTCACCCACTGTACCGTAAGAGCTCCTCATAGTCTCCCATAGTTCCTATATTCCATTTAAAAATTTTTTTCTCCTCTATAATTTCTTCCTAGGTTTCCTAGGTGACACAAGCAATTAAGGGCTCAATTATTAGTCAGATTCTTGTGACTCACTCCCATTCTTTTCCCAGAATCAAGAAAAAAGGCCTGGCAATCACTTGTCAGTCACATTCTTCAAAACCCTCCAGAGCAATGGTACTCTGTAGTCATGGGGTCACAATGAATTAGAATAAACTCGATGGCAACTAACAACAATGGTTTTGAGTCCAATATCTTTGTTTCCATGTGTTTATGGTGATATTATTATTAATATCTCAAATATAAAATTAATATTTTCTACTTATGAGGCTTCTGTTTTATTTTACATATTTTCTTCCTGTCTTCTATCAACTTAAAAATATATTTTAATTATTTCCCTATCTTTAAGATATAAATTTTACTTCTTTACTTAGAGAACTATGTACATATACATAGCATACAAAGTTCAAAATTATTCAAAATATCCTTCATCTTCAAAAAAGGAAGAAAACTAACATTAATGAACTTACTTCTCATTTAATTTCTATAATTATTCATATAAATAAAAATTAATTCTATTCTTATATTAAAATTGCATTTTTACAGCTAAGTTAAAAGGTTTTGCATGACTGTATATAGAAAATATTGCTACTAGTGAGTATTTCAATGATTCTATTGCCCTTCCCACTGAAAAACATGAGGATGTCCTAGGATCAATAGCTGTCTTGTCTGGGGGCCTGGACAATTGGAGGTGCCCCCTGAGAATTTTTTCAAAGTTGTTATAAATGGAAAATATTAAATAATATGGTAGCTGATATATGAGGAGTAATTGTATACAAATGTATTTGGGATATCTCACAATCAAAAAAATGAAGATTATATCACTACATATTATTTTCATTATTATTATGCCATATTCTACTGTGTTAATTTTGCATTTTAGCAGAATTTATTTGCCAGCTCTTAGTTTGTTTCTAATTCTGCACTCATAAATAATAATGCAGTAAATAATTGTGTGTTTATGTAAATTTACTCACATATAAATGCATTTGCAAGATAAAAAACTAAAAATAATTCAGTGTATATACAATTTTAAAGAACATGGACTTGGAGAAGAACAAACAACTGTGTCTTGGAATAAGTACAGCC